ATTGTTGTCAGTTGGGCGATGCTGAGTTACGAGCAATCACATACCTTACGGACTTCTGTGCAATTCAGTTAAACATAAACAAAACGATAAAGCTTGATATCAGAATATTCTAATTGTTTCTGTTTATAGCACTGTAAAAGTTCTCAACGCAAAATAAATAGTTATTCAAAACTTACTTTAACATAAAATTTATAATGTAACTATTTATTATTTTTGAAATGTTAAAAACAGAGAACGTCACTCGTTGATGATGACCAGGCCCCGATTCCCTCAAGACTTGGGATCTCCTTAGGATTCGTACGTCATAACTTCTCTGGTGGGTCTGTTTGCATTCACCTTGGTCACGTACGGCTGGCCGTCCTACTTCTGATTTCTTCATCTCAAAGATGGCCCTCATGGCTGATTCCAAAACTTTTCGCAACCATCCATTTTCAGCTGCATTCTATTTATTTTTCTCTGTATGGGTTAAACTCTACGGTTGACTGGTGTGTTGAATATAGGTGAGCTGTATGCGTGCTGTGAGTTTGGTTCCGTGCAGCATTGTGCGTTGAGTTGTATGTGCATGGTGAGTTGAGTTGCATATGCATTGAGCTCTACCATGCAGCACCAGCATCACACAAGATTGTAGCCCATCTCCATGGCATTTCTCTCAATTTCACATTTGGCCAAGTCCACCTTTTCGGTAACGGCCTCATTTTGTTTTTTTTTATAGTTTGCTTTAGCCCAAGCTTTTTGCTTCATTCAGCTTGACCAGACGGACACTCATCATAACTTTTGATTTATCGAACGAGTTTGCAGCCAGTCGTTCGTTCGTTCGTTCGTTCGTTCGTTCGTTCGTTCATCCATCTCATCCGCTTACTCCAAATCTTGACAGCATGAAAGATGGAATAAAGGTCAGCCAACCAAGATATACTCGTTTTTTTTTAATAATATATAATCTAGAACTATCATATATCGTCTCTTCATGGCCGTTCATATAGGTATTGTATATACTATATAGTGTATAATTTTATATCATAACCATTTTTAATTAATTTTTTAATCATAACCAATTTTTAATTTTTTAACCATCTTGAACGTGTGCACTTAACTCACAGTGCGCATGCAGCTCAACACACCAGGCTTCTGAAGTCAATTCAATAAATTCATGAGAAGGGATGAACAAACGCGGCATAAAATACACTGCAAATACAACACAGTGCACACTTATGGAGCAGTGCACATGCACAATTCATGCGGTACACAGTTGCACACCACGTACATTACAACTACACTTACACAACACACTAAATAGTTCTTCTGCATACACGGTATGCATACCGGGTATGGTCCGCAGGTTTGTTTGTTCACACAAGTAGGTACGTGTAATTCTTGAGTGGTACATTCATTGCTGTATAAATTCATTCGCTTATTTGTTTGTTGATTCATTCGTTCTTTTGTTGATTCGTTCGTTCGTTAGTTCGTGTTCGTTCGTTCATTCGTTCCTTCATTTTTTCGCTGTTCATTCATTCATTTAATCATTCACTCATCCAATTCGTTCGTCCGTCCGTCCGTCCGTCCGTCCATCCATCCATCCATCCATCCATCCATCCATCCATCCATCCATCCATCCATCCATCCATCCATCCATCCATCCATCCATCCATCCATTCATTCATTTTCATTCATTCATCCATCTATCCATTTGTTAATTTATTCACCCATTTATTCATCCATCCATTCATCAATTCATTCATTTTCATTCATTCATTCACTCATTCATCCAAGGATGGAAAATAACTGGAGGTCGGTAATTGAAAATATTCATTGCGTAATGCCAACTTTCTGGTCTGGGTGATGAAAGGTCTCGGGCTTGCATAATTTATGATGGATGGCCCCATTTATTAGGTTACTTTATATTTAGATATGCCTCATTACATCCTTATTAAACATTTTCTGTAATGCAAATGTACGTGTTTATGTACGTGTATGTGCATGTATGTGCGTGTATATGTGTGTATGTGCATGTATGTGCGTGTATATGTGTGTATGTGCATGTATGTGCGTGTATATGTGTGCGTGAGAGTTTTGGAGCAACCTTCATTTTTATCAGCAATTTATTTTCATTCATTCATTCATTCACCCCTTCCTATCATTTATTGGCGTGGCGAATGTGCAATAAACAATTGTTTATCTTAATTTGTCGTGTAATAAATACTACGATACGATTTTATTATTTTCACCATAGAAAAACAACAACAGCAACAACAACAACAACGACGACAACAACAACAACAGCAACAGCAGCAATAACAACAGCAATAGCAACAGCAACAACAACAACACCGTGATGATGAGACTCATTGGGACTTTGAAAAATGCTTCAATCAGTCTTAAAGATCCTTACGTGTCCAATCAATAAAAATTTTTATAATAAAGATCTATCAAAACTCGTCCATGACTTTTTAGTTATTACAAACCTTAAAAACTTAGCAAGCTAGTTGTGACGGTTACATTTTTTCTCCCCATGGGCAGACATTTCCAGGGTAGGTAGAATATTTCGAAAGGGTAGGTAGAATATTTCAAAGCATGCATTGAGACAATATAGAAAGGAAGAGATTAACATTTTAATTGTAGAAGAGGTTTGATGCTTGCGAGTTAGGGAATGAACTGCATCAATGATGACTTTGTTCATCTGTCGAATGTTCGTATGAAGGACCTGATGGTATCGGCACGATTTTGTTGTTGTGGTTGTTCTTATAGATCTCCAGGCAAAGCCAAAGCCAGTTTGCCACTTCCATCGGGTTCCTCCACAGATCTATTATTTTGAGATGTGTGCGGTTCATGAGGCAGCTGAACAGATGGGGGACATCGTCTGGTTGTTGGTGGCAGAAAGATAGATGTTGTTGAGCCCACTGTCGATTCTTGATTTGTAACTGCCGAGAAAGATGCTGTGGCCAGAGCGGAGCTGAGTAAGGGTCCGTCTGATTTTTTTCTTTCTTCAGATTTTAGGATTTGGTGGCGGCCATCCGTTGAACAGCACTGTCATATATCAGTCGCTGTCATATGTCATTGATCAGTCATATATATATATATATATATATATATATATATATATATATATATATATATATATATATGACTCCCAGGCGGCTTTGGCGGCGTTACTATAAAGGATGGATGAGGCAGTTTTCAAGTAGGCGCAGTCAATGGCAACTGGCAACACTGAGTTTACCGTCTGCATCCATCTCGAACTGAAGGTGGTCTTCAAGCTATGATCCGATGGATGCTGTTTTGTGATGACGTGGCACGGATGGCTAGGGTTATGGCACTATAGAAGGAATTGGGAAGAGATAAGATATGAATGTTGCTTCACGGTTAGCATCTGATATTCTGAGCGCAGGTGCTGCTCCGACGTGATTTTATGCCAGTCTGTGATCAGGCGAAGGGCAACTAATGAGCTCAGAGAGCGTTGGAGGCGGTTGAAACCGGTGTCGGACGTCATGCATACTTGATTGTGGATCGACCAATTGTTTTGTAGGTCTGTTGTAAAGTTTTCTTGTCCTGACCAAATGAGGTGCTGGCACGATTCTGGTTCAGTTCATTGAGTGATTAGTAAACAAGTTCATTACATAATTTGTTCACAAGTTGTTTTACTATTTTAAAATCAACAATCGCATTATTGCTTGTTTCAATGTACGAACAGAATTTGTTAAAAAAAAAGAAATATAAAATGTAAATATATAATTCAAACATTAATTAAAATTTTAAGTAATTTCATACGATGCAATTTATATGTTTTAATTTTAATTCCGATTTAAAATAATTCTCATCATATTAAGCAAGTGAACAAATGTATTTGGTTCAGATATTGATAGTTTGGTGAACGTTTAGAAAAACAATTGCAAGACATGTTATCTCTAAAAACAAACAGGCAGAGCTAATCGTTACTTGAGTCGATAAAAATTTTGCGGTACCTAGGTAAGCTGTTCTGTGTTATTGAGTTGCGATTTTATCAATTCGTACAAGTGTACGCAGTGTTTTTGTTACCCATTACTTTAAAAAACATCTGCATCTGTCATGATTGTTCTATGAAGTACAACATTCTGAACAAAGATTAATTTTTACAAAATATCTCACTGTTCTGTTTATAAATTTAATTTCTTTCACAGCAAGTATGATCAGCGTGTTATGATTTGAATGAATACATACCGCAGAAAACAACAACATATATTAAAATTACTTCGTGATTTTTTACGTGAATTTTGAAAAATTTGCTCATATTAAACACAATAATATAAAATTTAAACAAATTTTCTGTTTATGAAAAGGTTTAAATAAATTAAATTCCATTGGAATGCAAACTCACTGACTCATCATTCACAAGGTGAATTCACAATGAAACCAATATTTATAATTGCTACTAACACGGCGCTAACACTTTAAAACCACTTCTAAAAAATTTTTACTCGCACTGTCTTGAACGAACATTATGCGTCACTGTTGAGAAGTTTGTGATTTGTGCCGAGTTAACTTTCACACGCAAGTTATTCTTAAAATGACTTGTCAAGTTTCAACAATGATACGGATTGAAAGCAACAAAAAAACAACGCGAGCCGATCAACTATTGCGCCTCTGTTAAAACATTCAACCAACAACCATCTGCATGCATGGACCCTACAAACACTGCAAACACCCGAAAGCAAATCATGAAATTGAAAGATTCAAATTTCATAAACTTATAAAACAGAGAGCATTCATTTAAAATGATGTTGACGATAGATCACACATGATTTAATATTACGAAGAGGCATTAGTGATTTCGTATCGTGAAAACTAAATAGTAGATGAATTGAATGGTGAACGTGTATTATATAAGTTGATGAATATAAAAGTAACATTTTTTATTACATTGATTCACTTGAGCTAGTGAAGTAGGCTTTGATATATGTGCCAGAATATTGTCATTCAGTTTTACTTAACATTGCCCAAAACAATGCGAGGATTAGCATGAAATGATTTCAATCTTGCAGCATTCTATTTCTAATAGCATAAGCTATACACAGCCATTTGTTGTTGATGTTGTTACCCTGGTCGTGACAGAGGAGTTGTTGCAACAGTTTGCTGGAGACGGTCAGATGGATCCCAGCCGATCGCTCCAGTCTGCTCCACCACAAGAAGGCTGTAAAGCCTTTTGTGGACAGGAATCGTGACAGTTTAGAGTCGGTTGTTGAATTATTTATCCCTACCTGGCTTCTAAAGAAAATGACACTTTTTTGATCGATTTTGACTACATTTTCATGCAATTACATTGTTTGTAATACGATTCAATATGTACTGAAATCCCTAATATGTCAAAACTAAGTTGTCTTTTTGAGGAAAATGTATTTCATCATGAGCTGAAAAAATTTATCTAAAAGTTTTCAATTCCATAAAAATATTACAGTAAAAAATTATTTAAAATTTAATGAAAAGTGTGACAAATGATGCACAAAAGATCAAATTTATAAATCATTAGTCGCAAGCATCTGCATTTGCTATAAACGTGTGTAACTTCAAAATTTTTCTATTTATTAATTTCCATTTTTAGCGATCTACAGAATTGATTTACAGAATAAAAAAATTATGCAATCGTTACATTGTAATTATTGCCAAACATTCACTTGATGAGGAATAAAAAATGTTGCTAGCAACACTCTCATTATATCAGTGTGATCATTTGAATGAACAAATTTTAATTTTTTTAAACTTCTAAACAAACAAAAATACATTCACGAACGAGTCTTTAAAAACAACTCATTGTGTTTATTCTTATTAAAATATTTCATGGCTGTCCATGTTTGCATGCATGCATCAATTAATCAATGCACCAATGCATGCATCACTGAGTCCATGCACCAATGCACTAATGAATGTCGTTTCGAGAGTTTCATGAACGGTCCAACGTGAGCTAAGCAGGTGCTGAGGTGCTACGACAATCATTATCTCTTTCTTTATGTATATTCGTATATATACATACATATATATATATATATATATATATATACATACATACATATATATAATTATACATATGTGTTATATATATATGTGTGTGTGTAATAATAGGTATGTATGTATGTATGTATGTATGTATGTATGTATGTATGTATGTATGTATGTATGTATGTATGTATGTATGTATGTATGTATGTATGTATGTATGTATGTGTGTGAGTGTAGAAAATAAAAATACATATTTGTAATCCATACGTACGACTATAATAACTACTGTTCGTTCTTTCTACATCCACACTCTCCGTAATATTTTGTCTCCCTCCTTTCTCTAATTTTTTTCTGCTACCGTTTTCCTCTGTATTTTTATCTCCTTGTTAATTTTAAGATTTTGCCTGTGAACGTTTAATGTGCCCATAAAATTATTATTTCCCGGCTGGCGGTCGCAAACTCCAAATGCAGGACTACCGTTGAACTCCATGGCGAGAAGGCCACAAACAAAAGTGAAAGTGTCAAACTGATCACGTGCAAACAAAGAACTGATGGTCATCATGACGCGTCTTCCTTGAAAATGTTTTATGCATCTGCAGGTAATTCTTACTTACACTGTAATTACACTACATTCTTACACACAAAACATATACACTCACACACACACACACTCACACACACACACACACACTCACACACAAACACAAATCTGCATTTGAACATCTGTCTATCTCATTGGCACCAGCTTCAAAGTCTGTTATTATTGCGTAACACGTGGTAGGGTATTGTTAAGCTACTGGAGTTGCAGTATATAATTAGTTACTTGCTTAACAACAACAATAGCAAAATTACACGTATTATAATAAGCGCTTACATTTTCAGCGCTCAATTTATTAAAACAAAATGAGAAATTCACAAATTATGATACAAAACGACAAAAAAGCTGAAATTTTAAAACACGTGTTGATTGTGTTGAGCTTATGGTTTACTTTTAAAATGATTCTTCCGGATGTTTCCGAAAGAAAACATGAAATTTAATTTTTTTTTCAAAAATGTCCCTTTTAGACAAATACTAAAATATTTTTGGTTTTGAAGTTTGTTTTAATTTTTAAATGTGTGACACTTTGTGCTATGGCTTAATCTAACAAACGTTGAATACCATTCATATTTGAAATGCAACATGCGAACATGTAGCAGCATGCCCTCTATAATAAAAAATCAAATAAAAATAAAATTTTTAATATTTCTGCAAAGTCGTTCAAGAAGCATTGAACAAAAAATTGAAATCTATCACTTTTATTTATTTTTGCTTTGGTCTTCTACTAGCGCAGAATGTGTGAAGAGTGTTCAAATAGTTTTAGGTGAAATTTTTTTCGCAAAAATTTTTCTCTGAAAATTTAGCTAATGTTTTTATGTTGTCAAAACTATGTTGTGATTCTGAATGAGAAGATGACACATTAATCAATCAGTCAGTCAGTCGGTGGGTCGGTGGGTCGGTGGGTCGGTCGGTCGGTCGGTCGGTCGGTCGGTCAGTCAGTCAGTCAGTCGGTCAGTCAGTCAGTCAGTCAGTCAGTCAGTCAGTCAGTCAGTCAGTCAGTCAGTCAGTCAGTCAGTCATTCAGTCAGTCATTCACTCAGTCAGTCAGTCATTCATTCAGTCAGTCAGTCAGTCAGTCAGTCAGTCAGTCAGTCAGTCAGTCAGTCAGTCAGTCAGTCAGTCAGTCAGTCAGTCAGTCAGTCAGTCAGTCAGTCAGTCAGTTAGTCAGTCAGTCAGTCAGTCAGTCAACCAACTAACCAACCAATCAATCATTTAATAAACCAAATAACCAACCAAATTACCAACCAACCAGCCAAATAAACAACCAATCAACCAACCAACCAAATAACCAACCAACCATCTAATGAATTCAAATCTTGATGATGGATGCGGACGGATCCAAATCCAAATTCGGATCCAATTTGCATACGAGCTTAAAACCAAAAAAGATGTTTCAAAACGAAAAAGTGTACAAAAATCAAATTTGTTTTTGTGAATAATAAACATGCGGTAGTTTTAGCTGAAACAAATAGCGAAAACATTAATGAGTTTGTATATCTATAAGTGTTTATTAAACAATCTAACATTGCATTCACTTTTTGCATGGATCGAAATTTTTTTCGATTTTTGGTTGATTTTAGACCCGTAAAATGGTGGATCCTCAGTTTTGGATCCATGGATCCGAATCTTTCCAAATCCTTAGATTCGGAACCGTCGCCGCATTCATAATTTACTCCAAGCGATAATAGAAGAGACATAGAGATAATTTATAAATAACTCTATTGAGATTAGATAGAGGAAAAGAAGTATAAATATAGGAATCGTCAGAATATAGTTGACTAGAAAAAGAAAAAGTATTAATAATAAGAGGTAGTTCAGAAATATAGAAGAGGGCCAAGGATAGAGCCCTGAGGTACCCCAAAAGTAAGAGTATAAAAGTTAGAAGTAGAATCATTAAGAACAACAGGAAAAAACCATTAGAGATATGAAAAGAAAACAAAGATAGACAAGTATCTGAAATAAAAAAGAATAATTTAGCAGCATTCAGAGAATGATCAACAATATCAAAACCAGAAAATAGTCAAGAACAAGAAAAAGAGTAAGATTATTATTGTTACTAGAGAGAAGGATATCGTTTTGAAAGATTAGTAAAGATGTTTCAGTACTGTGAGCTAGTTTGAAACCAGCTTGTGAAAGAGGTAGTAAGGAGTTAGAGTATAAATAAAAAGACAATTGATTATACACTATTTTTTCTATTGTTTTAGAAAAAAAATAATCTATATAAAAAAGAATTAATAGTGGGTTTGGCAAGGAAAAGCTGTAAGACAATTAGTAAGGACCACATCAAATAAAAAAGTGCCCATTCGTGGTTTCAATATGTTAAAGCTTATAAAAGGGTTTTAGATAGGGGTTAATTTACGTTCTTCTAATAAAATTGTTACATTTAGCAACATGGGTTTTTGTTTGAGCCTGAATGCTAGCTGTTGGATAGAGCCTGGCTATTACTCAGCTTTTTTAGCAATACCAGTTTGTTGAGGTTGTTAAAAAGTGTTCATCTGTCATTGTAAGACAATGAACGTTACTAGCTTCACAATTTAGAGTTCAAGCGGAAAATTAACAAACTTAAAAACTGTAAAAATAAAGTTTGAATGTTGACAAGCTGATCTTTATAATGTTTTCAAGCTGTACAAACTTGGCAAATTTTACGATATAAAACACGTGATGTTGTGAAACGCTCTGAAATAAGCAGTATGGATAGATGGTGTTCACTTTGTTTTTAATGAAGCGCTGTCATAAAGCACATTTAACAGGCTCTAACATGGATCTGCTTTATTACATATATATCCATGAGCAGGGGCGTCACTAGGGGGGTGCGAGGGGTGCGGACCGCACCGGGTGACACCCTCACAAGGGGTGACACCAAAATATCACTGTATATGTTTTTATGTCCCTCCATGAAATTATTCTTAGCATTGATTCAGCCTAACCCGCCCAGCGCCCAGAAATGTATTATGAATAAAATTTCTTTCGTTCAAATCATCCATTTTTGTATTCCACGTTTATACCATTTGACGTCCGAATTATTAAGCGCCGCGCACATTTAACTTGTTCGTGTCTAACATAACGTACAACAGTGTTTGTTTTGCCCACCTACTACGCGCGTGTGTTAGTCAAGTTTAAGAGAATAATCTATAATTTACTTAAAGTAAAAAATTATTTAATTTTTAATCAATTTAATGATATAAGACAACAATTCAAAGTAATTTCACAAAAGTTGATCCGTAAGTACAAATATAATTTGTTTTATTAGCATTTAAATAATTTTAAAATTTTTACATTTAATTTAACCAACCAAATTTCAAATAATTTCATTTTATTTATTTATATTTATATATTTATTGTTGAAGGATATTATATCATGCCACGTGGAGGTGGAGTTCATACAACAAAAAGGCTAAGCGGATGTCAACAAAGAAAAGCCAAAATAAAGAAAGATGAAATACTATCTACATTGCGCGGATCTATGATGCAATATGTAAAGGGATCAGATGAGGCCCAGAGTTCTTCCAAAGACACAGTTCCTCAACCACAAAATGATGAGACTAATTTATCTGATGCTGGTATGCAGTCAGCAGAGGAAAACATTAATATAGAAGAAAATAGAGCAGAACAAGATAAAGAAATAGATGAATTTGTAGCAGAAGAGTGGACTGATAATGGTGACTCTAAATATGATACTGAAAATGAACTTACGGGAAAAATTGGAATGTTTTGGATGATGCTTCTTATTGGAATATACCAATTCCAGATCAATTGCGCGTTCAAATCATCAAAAGAGGAAGTGCATATCTCCAGAACAAAGATGGGCCTTTCAGGATGTTGACGAGGCAAGATCTAAAAGCTAAAGGTGATGTTCGCCAGCTATCTAAAGAGTGGTTTTATATGGTGATGCCAAATGGTGAGAAGGTGTTGCGAACATGGATGGTTTATTCTCCCGTCAGTGAGAAATTATATTGTTTTTGCTGCCGACTCTTTGCCGTTAATGCTACAGACACAACATCCAAATTTGTTACTGGATTTCAGACATGGTGGAAAATGAGCCCGAAAGTGCCTAATCATGAGACATCCGATGCTCACTTGCATTGCTTTGAAAAATGGAAAACCTTGGAGGTGAGACTTAGAATGCACAAAACAATTGATGCAGAAAATATTGCTTTGATAGACATAGAGAAGAAAAAGTGGAGAGACATCTTGCATAGGCTGCTCGATATTACATTGTTTCTCGCCAAGCAAAATCTGGCTTTTCGGGGACACAATGAAGAAGAATCTTCATTAAATAAAGGAAACTTTCTTGAAATGGTTGAGATGCTTTCTAAATATGACTCAGTGCTAAAAGAGCACCTATTAAGATTAAAGCAAAGCACACATAAAACTAAAGCATCAGCATCTTATCTTGCACCAAATACTCAGAATGAGTTTATTCATGTCCTAGCAAATCATGTGAAGGAGAAGCTTATCATGGATATAAAATCTGCCCGGTATTTTGGTATCATGTTTGATAGCACACCTGACTCATCACACAATGACCAAATGTCTGAAATTATCAGATATGTGAAAATTCATAATAGAAAAGTTGAAGTAAGAGAAGTGTTTTTGGGATTTTTTCCTTTAAAAGGGAAAAAAGCTGCTGATCTCAGTTCTGATATTCTCGAAAATTTGGAAAGTGATGGACTCAACTTTATGATGTGCCGCGCTCAAGGTTACGACAATGCTGCGACTATGGCTGGAATCCATGGGGGTGTACAAGCCATTTTGAAAAAAAAGAACAGGAAAGCTATTTTTAATGGTTGTGTGGATCATTCTCTTAACTTGTGTGGCCAACACTCTTTTGCTGAAAATGCTTTGTGCGTGACTTTTTTTGGAACTCTTGAGACAATGTTTTCATTCTTTGCTGCTTCCACTCACCGATGGGATGTTTTAATGAACCACACTGGAGTTTCATTAAAAGATTATCAACAACACGCTGGAGTTCTCATCACGCAGCAGTAAAGGCAGTGAAAGAAAAATTTGATGAATGTGTGACGGCAATAGAAGCTCTTTGTGATCCAGGGGAAAATCTAGACACTAGAGGTACAGCCCGAGGTCTTTTACCTACTATCTGCAATTTCACTTTTCTGTGCTATCTCTTCTTTTGGTGTGATGTACTTGAAGAAGTAAATCTAACGCAGCTGTACCTTCAGACTTAAGTCTTAAGTCTTGACAAGGTGGTGACAAAGCTAGAGACATTAAGACTTTTTATGTATGAGAAGCGCAATCATCTTGTGGAGCAGGCAATTGAACAGGCACTTATAAAATCAGACCAATATGGAATTTCAGTAGAGAGCAGACCCAGGTTCAAGAAGAGGATGGCAGGCGAGCGCGAGAAGACGAGAGATGCTGGACTTACTCTGCAGGAAGAAAACAAGAGAGCGATGTATGAGTGTATTGATCGTTTCCATTCTGAACTCCAGATCAGATCAAGAGCCATCAAGGAAGTAGCAGCCATGTTTGAGGTTGTTCAAGCCAAGAGTTTGATATCTGCTACTGAAGAAGAGTTATTGGTAAACATTCCAAAATTGACCACATTCTATGATGAGTTATCAGAAATAGAGCTTTTATTAGAAATACCAAGACTGAGAAGATATCTGAAGGCAGCAGAGATTGATCTTGAAGAAGCCAAAGGCTGGTCAGTACTTGACATTTTGAAATTCATAGTTGAATGGGACTTCCTAGAATCTCTCCCATATCTCTCAGTGAGCCTACAATTATTTCTTACAATCTGTGTGTCTGTGGCTTCACGTGAGAGGAGTTTTTCAAAGCTAAAGATTATAAAGAACTATTTGCGATCTACTATGGGACAGTCTAGGCTTTCTGATCTTGCAATATTATCAATTGAAAGAGATTTGGCAAAAGAAGTTGATTTTGATGAAGTAATTAACAAGTTTGCATCTTTAAAGGCGAGGAAAGGGAAGTTCTGATTTAGTTGAGATTTAATGTGACATAAAATTTAATGTAAAAATAACAATTAAAAAAGTGACATATTTTCTATTTAGTTTTATTTCTTAAAATCTTTGATAGATCACAATTTTTTTTAAAGAATAAAAAGATCGACCTTGAATTATTTTTTCTTCTATTGTCGTTGTAAATTCATTTATAAATTATGCTAAGAATGCTGTATGTCTATGGGGTGTCATGAGAGGGGTGACACCATGAGTTACCGCACCGGGTGACACCAACCATAGTGACGCCACTGTCCATGAGCTCTATTGAATGTTTTTTTATGATGAAAATGAACTAAAAATTATTTCATGTGTACGTAAGAAGGGTAGGAAAATTTGTAACAATGCGTGATAAGAACACTGTAAAAGTCTATGAATTCATCCCAAAAAGGATATTTTTAATCTGTAAAGACAAAAATGGAAAAATATAAAAAAACGTGAAGTACTTAAGGATCAGTCTTATAAAACTTTTCAACAGCAAAGTAAGCAACATGATATGGGAATGCATCATTGTAAAAAAATGTCACATCAGTTCTGCTGCTTCAAAGCTCCTAACGAGCTTTCGCAGACGTATTGTATTTCACTTCTAATTGATTCATCTGCTAATGGTTAAAGACTCTTTCAGCATTCCTTATATTATACCATAAACGTTAAATTTTTCAAGTTCTACTATTATAATATTATAACATTCAGAGCGCACACAAGAATTTGTCAGCGTGGTTTTGAAAGAAGACATGAAGCTCTCAAGTTTCAATAATTTCCTGCCTGTCATCGGCGACATGACTTGGCGTGGCGACGTCTGTTTACGTGGCAAACAGAAATATAAACAAACATTCCATGTGATGATGACAATAGTGAAATTGATGAAGTTGATGATGAGTGTAACAGTTAATGATCCTGATATCGATGATAGAGATGATGATGATGATAAAGTGAACGATGAAGACGATGAAGAAGATGAAGAAGATAATAATGATAATAAAAATGATGGAGAAGATGAAGATGATGAAAATGATTAAAAAGATGCTCAAATGGCAATCCGTTCAATGATTGTGGTTAATTCGCGTTGACAAATGGCTCAAAGAATACGGAAAACTGTCATCACTCATGTAGGATTTTGTTGTGTAAGTAACATAAAGAAGTGTTCCGTGACCTGGGAACAAACATCATAAACTCTTTGATATCTTGATACCTGCCGTCAAGAAAAATTAGGACTGACAGCAATGAACCGTTGAGTTTTTCCACCTGATTTATAATATCAGTATAATTTTGATAAGAACGTTAGTGTTATTTTATTGTCTAAACATCTTCTGATCAAGTAATAATGTAATAATAATAGAATTAATGAAGTAACTGCCGGTAAAGTACATGGCGTTTTGAACAATTGCCTTAAATAACTGATAGACCGTTTTAAAGCGCTATATAAATGTTTCTAATAATAATAATAATAATATAGATGTAAAGAATGATAATGATGATTGCAATGATGATGAGTGTGACGACCATGGAGATGATGAATGGGGATGAGTCTATAATGGTCTCAAAATGGATGGTCTCAGAAACACTGAACGTAATGCTGGGTGTTATTTACTCTCATTCATTTGGTTCGCAAGTTTCCAAAATTGGCTTGATTGAACTAATGTTGACACAGTTTTGATTTGCCGCTGGCAACATGCAACCGCAAGTGAGGTTTATATAATGGTGCTTATAAGATAACCAATAAAACATTTTTTCATTTGATTATATTTTTTCAATAGGAATGTATTGGTTAATACAAATTAGGAACGTGGAAAGCATGAAGTTGCATCATTTAAAATCAGCTAATTCGTTGCACCACCCACGCACACCACTCTGCAAACAAGTTTGGACGATTTTTATTTGAAGAATGAATGAGATGGGCTGGATGGATCTGCAAACATTTACGAGGTCGTTTGTGTTTGTTGAAGAAGGTGCCGTGGTTCGCTGCATAACTGAATGGTTGGATGGTTGTTTAGTTGGTTTGATAGCTAATTAGTTAGTTGGTTGGTTGGAAGGTTGGTTGGATGATTGATGGGATGGTCGGACAGTTGTTTGATCGCTTGGTTGTACGAAACGGGATGGTTGGTATAATGGATGGTTGATTGATTGACGGTTGATTGGTTGTTAAGCCGATTGGTCAAAAAATAATATGTATACTTTATCTGGGACATTATTCAATACTATTCAATAATTATTTGAATTACTTTCAAAATAACTATAAAATAGTTTACATTTTCTTTTTAAAATACCAAAGCCTAAATGATGATGGTCCTATCAATCATGTTGATCCACCTGAAAACAGCTCGTACGTGTTCAAAGACACTCAAATGTGAAAACAGCCATCTGTGTACTTGAAAAGTTGACATATGTAAAATAATTTATCTATCTAATGAAATCTGTGTAGTAATTTGGAAACGAAAAAATGAACGAGAATGTCGAAATAACTTGTAACAAATGGAAACCATTGAAAATGTTTCGATCAACCAATTCAACCAAATTAAGCTAATATCGCATTTTGCTTGCACTTGTCAACTCGAAAGTTTAGAAATGCTGAATGGTGATGACGATGATGTCAACAAAGTTTTGTTTTAAACCAACATTTTGTTGCGATTTATTATAGGGCTTTTTGATTTTTTTTTAAATATTTACAACATTCCGGAAGCAAACCGCTGAAAATATCAATAAATATCAAAATTTTCATTTTATTCCTTTCAAAAAATTATTTTCCAAAAATAAAAAAAGCTGAAAATAACTGATTAATATTCTAAAATTAACAAACAAAAATGGAATTTGCTAAATTTTTATTTAAAGCTGCTGTTTAAATATTTTAATAAAAATAACTACACAAACCAAATTTTTATTAATCCAACGGAAGTTATGCTGGCGAAGTTTGAAGTGATGCCTCCGACGCGTGCTATCTAAAAAACCTTTTGTGTTGCGACCGCAAAAAAAATTTTGTCGCTAAAAAGTTAACCTTTTTTGCTGAAAATTTTAAAACATCAGTTCAACGTATGAGACGGGCGTGTTGTCGATGAAAGAAAATGCTGAAATCGTTTCAGTCACAGTTAACTAACAACATTCTCACAACGTCGAAGTGGGTCATCCGAATTTCTTCATTTTAAAAACACAGCAGAAGAACCACAACAACAAAAATAAAAATAATATTACCAGCATAGTTACAGTCCTCATCCAAAGTCTCACTAATCCACCATTACACCAACAGCTCCAACGGAACTGTTCATCTCAACTCCAACAGAAGTATTAGGAAAGAACGAAACAGTGAAAAAAAATTAATTTGCCCGGACGGGAATTAATAATTGATAATAATTATTGGAAGAAATGAGAACGAATGAAAACATGTCAGGAAGGAGAACGTGAGGCGGAGTGACGGAGCGAAGTGTCAGACATGAAACGTTCATTCATTCATTCATTCATTCATTCATTCATTCATTCATTCATTCATTCATTCATTCATTCGTTCGTTCGTTCGTTCGTTCGTTCGTTCGTTCGTTCGTTCGTTAATTCGTTCGTTCGTTCGTTCGTTCATTCGTTCATTCATCCATTCTTACTCCATCCTTTTGTCTCGTAATGTTGAAATAAAAACAGGTGATTCAATCGATCATGCATTTCATTTGGTGCCCTTTTATTATTCAACTTTTATTTCATTATTTTGATGTTACGCTGGCTGGAGTCACGTTACTTCACGACATCACTTTACGTTTCTGACGAATTATTGAGTCCGTCCGTATTCATCATTATTTTTTATCTAATTTTATACATTTTATTATTATTTTCATTATTTGTTTAATTCATTATATTATTATCCTTATTTTTTTTCATTGTTATTATTATTTTATTTGTATATTATTAATATTTATTTTATTTATTTATTATAATTATTATTATTTACTAGGGTCATCAAATTTCCACCACTACACTCCAAATCATTCTCCCCTCCAACTTTAACATGCCCCACCGCAGCCACCGACACCAAACTACAGGCTTGCAGTGCGTACGTACGTGGGGGGGGGGGTAGGTCACCACCTGCATCACGTGACATTCACTCTATCACATTCAACCCTGATGTTAACACTTTTTCACCAACTTTCCGACAATTCAAGTCAAATTTAGTTACCATTAACTACAATTACTCTACCCTAATTACCATTAATTAATTATCATTACCGTTAATTATTACCGTAAAGATTCATAAAATTCTCAATCTAACCAGCACACGTGGCTGGCATTTGAAGGTTGATGAAACACAGCAACGCAATGGAAAAATTATTCCTAATGTAATCGCATTAGGAATAATTTTTGCTTCCTCGCTCAATTAATTTCATCGCACGCAGGGTGGTGGAGTCTGCGGGCTGCAGTGTAGAGTGGAAAACATGTCCCGTGGGAGAGGTGTGGGAGTCATTTCGATTGAATCTGGAGAATCATCGTTGTCGTGTTTCATTCATTTCAGCATTAACCTCGCTATCCTCACCTCATACCGATTTATACCGAACTGTCATCTCCATCAAAATCTGCCATTCTACATCATCTGAATCATCAACTCTGAGCAACTTTTCGCCATTTTTACTTTCCTTGTTTTCATATCAGGAGTAAGTACGATCATCATCATGATCATCATCCTCACCACCACCACAACCACTATCATCACCACCACCATCATCATCATCATCATCAACGTCGTCATCATCATCATCACCATCATCACCATAACGAAACGTCATCACTGTTAGGATCATTACGAAGATTAAAATCAGAAAGAGGAAACCATCATCGTCATCATCATCGCCGATCTCCTCAATGTGATCATCATCATTATCATCATCATCATCATTATCATCGTCACCGTCACTGACATGTCTGACAAGAGAAACGTGCATTGTTATATTATTATTTATTTGCCCGCACACGCACGGAACATCATCCGCGTTGTTTTTCTATTACGTACATATGCGTAACATATGCGTAATCTATGTTTGAATTTAACACAATGTATGGCACGCGCGCGCACACACACACACACACACACACACACACACACGTTTGCATATACAAATGCACACACATGCACAACACACACACGCACACACACATATATATACACACACACACACACACACACATATATATATATATATATATATATAATGAGAATTTGTAATGTATATATGTGCTCACGTGTGGGTGTGTGTACATAATAGAATAAGTATTACAGTTTATCAGCAGTCGACATGGAAACAAGTTGAAATGTGCATCAATCCATGAATATGGAGGGCAAACAATGCACGTGAATGTGCATGTGTCATGTGAATGCATCTTATCTATCGCTGCCATACGAACATGCAGTCTCAGTGATGAGGGGTGTTCTTCTCAATCACACGGGCTGATGATGACTGTTAACTTAGAAAAACAAAAGAGGGAGTGAAACAAAATGTAAGAAACTGCTTGTGATGAACTGTTAGAAGCTGCATGACATAAATTGCAGCAGTAGGTGTGACAGTGCAGGCAGGCGTGAACATCTCGCACCAGCCACTCGGAACATTGAAAATGTTTTAAACCATTTAAGCCAGGTGCAAATGCAACTTACCGCAATTTATTCAGTGCAAATGCAGACAAATCGCTTTCATAATTGATTTATTTAAATCTATTGCCGACAAAATTTAAAAAAATTAGAAATTTTCCTTCTACAATCATTCCACAAATGCACTTGTTCAAAAAACACGTTTGTTACGCACGATTTCTTAGACACCCAGGCTTAAATCATAAAATTATTCTCGCTCGATGTGGCGCACACAAATATTTAATTGTGTGCAGTCGAGTGTCAACATAACCAGATCATAAAACACGTGCAACCAGCACCGGCGTGAATTGTTGGCAGCACTCCTAACAACACACAACATCAGAACAAACACTGCAACAACAACAGAAGCAACGACAACAACAACACACACCAGACAGCCACTACAACAACACACGTAGGCCGAAACAACTAGATCACATATCGACATCAAGAAAAACACACAACAACCACACACATCAACAACCACAACAACACACATCAGCCACAATAACAGCACATGATATTATGATTGATCATAAACACAACGTATATTGACAACTTATATATAATATAATATATATAATAACATTATATAATTATAATTATATAATAATTATATGTAATATATAACAACTTATATTAAATAATTAACAACCTCAGCGTATCATCATCGCGAGCAGCAAACACACAAACACATCACATATTGACAACCTGACAACCTCACAGCTCTTAAACACAACCTCACAAAACAACAAAAACACGCGCGACACACAACAGCACAACATCACAACGACGCGTTCGTACACAGTAATTGCGTGCTAGCTATGCAATAGTAAAAAAAAAAACAAAAAAATTTTTTGAATGCCATGAGTCATAAAACACCATCATCATCATCGTCGTCATCATCATCATCGTCATCATCATCATCTTCTTCATCATAATCATCATCGTCGCCATCATCATCATCATCGTCGTCATCATCATCATCATCACTGTCGTAATCGTTACCACAATCATCATCATCGTCGTCATCATCCTTCCTCTCTGTTATCAATATCATGATCGTTAACTGTTACATTACACTCTTCACGTGATTTGAGGTTTCATGATGACGTTTACAATCTTTCAAAGTCAGTGTCAATCAGTTTTAGTTGATCAGTCAACCGATCAGTCGGCTGGTCGCTTGTTCAGTCAGCGAGTCGGTGGGTCAGTGAGTAAGTGTGAGTGAGTGAGTGAGTGAGTGAGAGTGAGTGAGTGAGTGAGTTAGTGAGTAAGTAAGTGAGTGAGTGAGTGAGTGAGTGAGTGAGTGAGTGAGTGAGTGAGTGAGTGAGTGAGTGAGTGAGTGAGTGAGTGAGTGAGTGAGTGAGTGAGTGAGTGAGTGAGTGAGTGAGTGAGTGAGTG